CAGCAAAGAGTTAAAAGTGGGATAGAGGCCAGGCACAGTGGCTCACGCCTGTAATCCCAGCACTTTAGGAAGCTGAGGTGGGTGGATTGCTTTAGGTCAGGAGTTCAAGACCAGCCTAACCAACATGGTGAGACCCCATCTCTACTAAAAATACAAAAATTAACCGGGCATGGTGGCAGGTGCCTGTAATCCCACCTTCTCCAGAGGCTGAGGCAAGAGAATGGTTTGAAGCCAGGAGGCAGAGGTTGCAGTGAACCGAGATCTCGCCACTGCACTCTAGCCTGGGCAACAGAGTGAGACTCCGTCCTAAAAAAAAAAAAAGGTGTGGGCTGGATCTCAGGAGAGCAGATTGTGGTCATAGACTTCAGCAGGAGGCCTGTGATCTCTCTCCTGGTGAACACAGAGGTTCTCTGGTGGTCTCAGCAAAGCCCCACCCCTGGGAGTAGGTTATAGTGCAGACACATGGGGCCCAGACGGGAACAACTGGGGATGCCCTGCTGGACCATCCAGGCTGGTGACGATGGGTGTGGAGGAAGCTGTTGTCTACAAGGAGCTAAGTGAATGAGCATTTCCTCCTTTGGATGGTTTACTCAGCCTCCTCCCTGCCCCTGCTGAGGGTGGGCAAGAGGATGTCCTCTGGCTGCCCACTGGTGACTCAATCCAGCCACAGACTACAGAGCAAGCAGGGCAGTGCTGGGCCCCCAGCAGAGCCACCATGCAAGGTGGTCAGTGACGCTTCAGGGCAGCATGCAACACCTGCCCCAGTTGGGCTTTGGCCTCCCTCAGCCCCCACCCCACCACTTCCCTGGGATGGATGTGCATGGTAGTTTTCTAGGCAGACCTCCAGGCCACCATCTGCCAGGCCCGCTGACCACAGTCATTCTTCCAAGGCTCCTGCCTTACCCAGCTCGGGGGGAGATGAGCAGCGACCTAGTCGTCGTCCTGAGACCACTGCGCGTGAGCAGACAGGCCCCCGCCCGTCCGGTCCCTGTCCAGGCAGTAGGCGTATTTCTCACCAAGACCTTGCAACCCAGGGGGACCCTGGAAAGCATCTGGAGTGCCTCAGTTTTTCCCTTAAGGGAAAACTACTGTTTCCCCCTTGGTCATCTGTTTTTCCAAACCCCCGTCTTTTCCTTGTTTACTTCTCTGGTGCTTTAAATAACTTCAGGAGAGAGCGTGCCAGCCTTGAGCAATGTTTGGGGTTGGCCAAGCCGAGGCACAGGCCTCATTATCATGCTATTCTTTATACGACTTCCGCTCTGCGGAGCACACTCAGTTCTTTGGAACAGAGCCAGCCTCGGGGCGGCCTTTCCCACTGGAGCCGCCAGTCTGGACCGCCGTGAGAGCTGGTGCCCGGAGGCCAACAACCTGATCTTCAGTCACTGGGAGTCACAGAGAGGGACCCAGTAGAGAGCCCAGCTGGCAGCATCAGTGCCAGGTTGGGGTGGGCGCTGGACAGCACCAGTGCTGGGGAGTGGACGCTGGCTGGAGCCCCGCCCAGGCTGCACATTGCTCGGCCAGCTTAGTCTGGGGGAGCAGGACCGGAGCAGGGTGTCCTCCACCCTGGGTCCATCAGGGGCACTGCATGTGATTATTGGGGTTACGTGCTGGGAGTGGTACAGATTCTGGACAGTCTAGAGCGCTTCCAGCACAAGGCAGGCTGAGCAGTCATACTTTACTCAGTCTCCAAATTTGGGCAACAGGAAACTAGCCACTTAACAAGGAAGCTCAGCTTTTCTGGGCTTTAAAGATGGAGACACGTTGGAAATTCCCGTAACCGATAGGCTGGGGTGGGAGGATGTTCTTCCCACACACAGACAAAAAAGTGGAACCCGGGGTGATGGGAAGCTTTGACCTTGGCCCGCCGGACTGTGGGGCGGGGTTTCCCTCAAAGCCTGGTCAAAAGGCCGTGGAGGCTGGAAGCTCTTGTTTAGCCCCACCAGCTTCCCAGAGCAGCAAGGTCAAGCATGCGAGAGTCGACACCCGCCCCGGCCGCAATGCAGGGCCTCCTTCAGTACTTCCATCCCGGCTGGGCGGGCCGGAGCTGGGCAGCTTCTGCTGAAAAGTACCGGTGTGCTCGCGGCACTGCCCTGTGGACCCACATCCGAAACCTGGTGTGCAAGGGCAAGGTGGGCTGACATGTGGGCCGTGGTTCCAGGGGGGCTTTGAGGGGCAGCCGCCTGATGTGTGGACAGCTTCTCTGTCTCTGTTTACCTGGACTCTGGGTTGCTTGTTAGCTGCTTCTGTCTGTTCTGGGTTTTTAAGGGGAGAGGGGCCCAGTGATGGCTGTTCTTTGAAGGAAAGGGAAGAATGTCTCCTGCTTAACATGTTTCTGTGTTTCCAGTTACTTGGTTGGTTAGTACAGCCAGGGTCTTGCTCTGTTGCCCAGGCTGGAGTGCAATGGCATGATCTTGGCTCACAGCAGCCTCCACCTTCTAGCCTCAAGTGATGCTCCCACCTCAGCCTCCTGAGTAGCTGGGACTACGGGCACGTGCCACCATGCTTGA